CCGCCCTCCTCGGCCTCCCAAAGTGCTGGGATTACAGGCGTGAGCCATCACACCTGGCCCCAGTCTCCACTTTTAAGGAACTGCACATCCTCCAAATACCCCGCACCGTAGCATGACCATGCAGAAACCACTTTCCTAACCCTTCCAGGAAGGGAATGACTCATGCGCTCTCAGAGAAAGGTGAGAGTGGCTGTATTATAAATAGTGTGCGTCACAGTTATGTTGAGAAATTGCCAGAAAGCAAAAAGGTGTGGGGCTTTACTTCGCACCTTGGGTAAACTGATGAAATTGCATTCAAAATCTGAAAAGCTGAGGATAAGAAGCCGAAATATGGAGACATACACCCTTTCTCCTCTCTCCCTTCTGCCGCAGACACCCCTGGGACTTTCTGCCAAGAGCACTTTGTCAGGTCATCATCAGGGGACGTGCTCTCTCTCCTGGGCCTTTGCAGACCTCTCAAGGAAGGGTTGTTCCGGAGCCTGGAGGCAGTCACTTTCCTTACCCACAACTGCCATCCTCAAACCATTTCTCCTCCCCTGAAGCTTGTGCCCAGGCTACATCACCACCTCACCTGCCTGGTTGCTGCCAGCTTCTGAGCACTGTCCTCTGTCCCTCAGTCCCTGACAACTTGAGCCCCAGGCACGCTGTCCTCCTCTGTGCTGTGACCCTGTCATCACCGTGTCTTCTTCGTCATCTCCTGAATGATCCGTGCAAACCTCCAGCCCAGCAGTCCTCGACCTGCTAACTTCCAATCACCAGGTCTTCCTCTCAGTCGCCACCACCCCTGCCTCTGTGATCAGCCCACTGTTCTTATCGTCCCCAATAACCACACTATGTCCAAAATCTAAGCTGCGAGCATCTCACTCTTACTCTTCCCTCCTCCATCCCTCCAGCTCACTCCCCAAGCAGTTCCCAGTCCAGCAATTTGTGGATTTCAATTCACTCACCCCACCTTCCCCTTAGTGTCCTCTTTGTGTCCCAGCTTCCTGCTTTATCTTGTTGATACCCCACAGCTCCTCCTTACAGTACCTTGCAAACACCCTTAACCCGGTATCCCTCTCCCATGTGCCGGGCAAACACATATTTGCATGGCAAAGCCTTAATACCAGTTCAGTCCACCTATGGGGCTCTTTTGGGTGCCGTCATCTCAGAAACTAAACGTGATAGGAGGAAAACGCCACCATGCCCATTGGTCCCACGTGGAATAACAGCTAATATTTCTATGACATGTGGTATGACCAGGGCACAGGCTAAGCATCTTACCTATAGTAACTAATTAAATCCTCACAAAACCCATATGCATTAGGTACTATTGTATTAATCTCATTTCACAGGCACGGAAACTGGAGCCTGTAGGGACATTAAGCAGTCTGTCCAAGGTCACACAACGATAAAGTGACAAAAAAACAGGATTTGCCCTCAGGCAGTCTAGCTGCAGAATCCTTTTCTTTATAATTCCACACACTTGCTCCTCTATCTCCAAGTCAATCAACAGAGCTACTCCAACCAACACTTCCCCCTTCCTACTCTTTTCACTCTTCCATTCCCCAAGCAACCCTTTCTTTTTTTAATGTTATATTTATTTTAGATTCAGGGCTCCATGTGCCTGTTTGTTACATGGGTATATCGTGTCATGGTGAGCTTGGGCTCCTAGTGAACGCATCACCCACAATATTGAACATTGCACCCAACAGGTAATTGTTCAACCCTCACCCTCCTCTCATCCTCCTCCCTTTTGGAGTCCACGGTGTCTATTGTCTTCACTTTTATGTCCATGTGTACACATCGTTTACCTCTCACTCGTAAGTGACAACATGTGATATTTTATTTTCTGCTTCTGGGTTAGTTTACTTAGAATAATGGCCTCCAGCTCCATCTATATTGTTGCAAAGGACAGTCTTTCATTCTTTTTTATGGCTGCATAGTATTCCATGGCATATGTATGCCACATTTTTCTTATCCGGTCAACCATTGGTGGAGATTTAGGTTGATTCCATGACTTTGTTATTATGAACAGTGCTGGGATAAACATATGAGTGCAGGTGTCTTTTTGATAAAATGATTTCTATTCCTTTGGGTAGATTCCCAGTAGTGGGATTGCTGTGTCCAATGGTAGTTCTATGTTTAGTTCTTTAAGAAATTTTCATATTTTTTTCAATAGAAGTTAAATATTTTATATCCCCACCAAGCAACTATTTCAAACCTCCTCTTCACCTCCTTCTCCTTCCATTGTAGGTTAATGTCTTTGTCTTGCCCTGCTTTGAGAAAAATCCAAGAATCCATCAAGAACTCCCTCATCTCCCACCATCACTTGTACCAACTCTCCACCATATGCTCCACTGCACTTTGCCTTCCTTCCTGCTACAATGAATGAAGCATCCCTTTTCCTGTCAAAGAACACCTCTCCACTTGCAACCCAGGCCTCTCTCCCTCCACCTTCCAAAATGCAATGGTCATGGATAGAGTTGAGCACGCACTCTCACATTCTTGAAATGTTCTCCTACCTGGTTTCCATGACGCCACAGGAGTAGAATCCCACCATCACTCAGCAAGCTCCTTCTCAGTCTCCATTGAGGATTTCTGGGTCCCCTTCTTTTTTTTTTTACTCCACATATCCCCAAAGTGATGGGAACCAGTTTTGTGGCTTTATATCTCATCAATTTGCCAAATCTAACTAGACTGACTTCTTTCCCAAAGTCCAAATATATGTATCCAACTGCCAATATACTACATCTTTATTTGCATATCTAATAAGCTCTCAAACTTTTCATGGTTTAAAAAAACTCTTGACCTTACTCCATAAAATGCTCCTTTCTGGTCTCTTCCATCTCAGAAAGAGGCATCATCATTCATCAAATTGCCCAATTCAAACATCTAACATCTCTTGCTTCTTCATTCAATATCTCCAGCCCATTATCCTCCCCAACCCCACCATGATTTAACTTCTCTATGCCACCAGCCTCCTCTAAGACGTCAACATCTATTAACTGAACTACAGAACACCTGCTACTGGTCTCCCTGCTTCCACTCTTGTTCTCCTATGATATGATTTGGCTGTGTCCCCACCTAAATCTCATCTTGAATTGTACCTCCCATAATCCCCACTGTTGTGGGAGGGACCTGGTGTGAGGTAACTAAATCATGGGGGTGGGTTTTTCCCATGCTGTTCTTGTGATAGTGAATAAGTCTTACAAGATCTGATGGTTTTATACAGGGCAGTTCTCCTGCACATGCTGTCTTGCCTGCTGCCATGTAAGACATGCTTTGCTTCTCCTTCACCTTCCGACATGATTGTGGAGATCTCCCCAGCCATGTGGAACTGTGAATCCATTAAACTTCCTTCCTTTATAAATTACCCAGTCTCGGGTATTTCTTCATAGCAGTATGAAGATGGACTAATACACCCTACAACTCCTTCTCCAAAGAGGACCCAGAGTGATTTATTTTTAAACATGATCAGATTAAATCTTCTCCCTGCCTAACATTCTCATGGCTCACCCTCCATTTAGAAGCCAATGCCAGTTCCTTATATTGGCCTGCAAACCCTCTTTGATCTGGCCCCTGCCTCCCCTCCCAGCCTTAGCTAGAGCAGCTCCTCACATCACCCACTGTGCCCAGCCACACTGGCTTTGCCTCTCTTCTTTAAAAACATCAAGCTTGTTCCCACCTTAGGGTCCTTCCCCAACTACTGCCTCTGCCTGGGATGCATGTGTCCCTGATCTTCACATGGGTTGTTCCTTCTTAGAAGTCAGGATTCAGCCTAAATGTCAACTCCTCAGCCTTCCCTGACTACATAACAGCACCACCAGTCACTATCACATCTCCTATGTTAATACTCTGCCTAACACTATCCCTGCCTGACATTTCTTATGATTTACTCATTTATTTTCTCTTAACCAACTAGACTATAAGCCACATGACAGCGGCAATCTCATCCATCACATTCATTGCTCTGTCCCCAGGACCTTGGGTCAAAATCATCAGATAAATGGACATTCCTGCAATTGCCATAAGTAACTTCTCCTGGAATCTCCAGGGATCACTGGAAATCCAAATATCCAGCAGCTTCACACTTGTATGGGACACAAATGAAAAACACAGACTGGCTCACTTGGCAGTAGCCACTACTAGAGAAGGTAAAATGGCAAAAGGTGGGACATTATCCTGAAAAATATGACAAACAAATAGGATTAATGGAGAGGCCTGGGTTCAAATCCTAGCACTGCTCTTTACTGCTTTTAAGTGGGCAAATCCCTTGCCCTATCTCTCTCTGAGTCTTAAAGTTTTCCCCCATCCATAAAATGAGAATGATACATGTCCCAGTAGGTTTATTGTGAAGACTGAATGAGACATTGCAAGTGCCTATTAAGGAGCAAGAATTCAAGCACATAGACCCGTGACAGTACAGGATTCAGGCTTTGTTGAAAGAAGAAATGAAACCTTGTCTAATATGAAAAAGTTCATGGGACCTAAATGTACCAAATTCTAACTCAAGCTCTACTCCACTTTCCCTTCGAAACTCCATTTCTAGTCTCACCTGGTCCAATATGTGTTCTTACCATGGCCAGGTGTCATCACCACCAAATGCAGCGCCAGGGGTATCTTCTGTATGTTGTTAATGAATGTTAGCTGCTTTTTCAAATGCATGAAGTTGCCTGCCTCATAATGATTGTAAATTCACACACATGGTCCCTCCTCTATACGCCCTTCATATCTCCTTCCAGGACTGCTCCAGTGATACTTCTTTTGAGAGGCTGTCCCAGGCCTCTAGGTGGAATAGACAGGCCCTCCTCTCTGCTCCCAAGTATGTTATCTGAACCTTATCTATCAGGGCCGTCTATCCCATTATGTGTTATTTAGTTGGTCTCTCTCTCTCTCTCTCTCCCTCTCTTCTTAAATTGTGTTTTTAAGGCTCAGAGGTGAAATCCTTACATTCCAGACAACTCTTGGCCCACTGGGAGGATAGACTCTGGTCAAAACCCAAGGCCATATTTGCTTACCGTGTCCTGATATCTTGCCTTCCTCTCTTCTCCCAGCTGAAAACTCTTTCTTCAAGTCCCTGGTGCAGCTCATTTCACTGGGTTCCTGAGAAACACAGAATCAGGAAGGTTAACTGGTAAAATTGTAATATAATGTAACTAAGATGAATGATGTGGGGATAGGGAGAGAATCGACACTTAAATATATAAAAAAATGTTGCCTATAATTAAAAATTAAAATAGTAATTGTCCATTCCCCAGAAGTCACAAAAGAGGCCTCTTGAAATTGGGCAGAAACCTTTAATTATTCATTTCAAATGAGTCTTTCTAGGCACAAAGATATCCCAATAGTATACAATGAAACATAACTATCCACATAGAAAATATGTGTGGGTAACATGCCAGGAAATCCTGAAGTTCTGACAAAAGGAGTTTTTGTTGAGTCAGAAATCCAATTAAACAAAAAGGGTTTTAATGTGTCTTCTTGGCATGGTGGAGAGATGCATCAAATACTTTTAAAATCCGGGAACCGGCCCTTCATGAAGCGTGTTCTGTGGCATCCTCTCCCCAACAAAGGCCTGGCCTTTAAAAACCACCCTCGTGCAGCATTGCAGAAAAACCACCCTCTCTTTACTGTTCCAGTGAGGTTCTGCAATATTATTGTGTATGGATTTCAATATCTGAAGATGGCAATTGATAGGAGAATTCACCAAAGTTCCCAAAACAGTAAAACCGCACATTAAACGATTGTTTTGGGGAAAGTATAGCATAGAATTCAGAGCTCGAGTTCAAGGCAGGTCAGTGACTTAGCTATGTGACCAGGAACAAGGAACAAGACAGTTAAAATTCAGAAGCCTCTGTGTTCTCATCTGTAAAACAGAGGCAGTAAGAGAAACTATCCTTGGAGTGCCATGAGGATTTAATGAGATAATTCATATACAGCATTGGGCAGAGGGCACAGGCACATGGTAAGAGCCTATTGGCTGGACTGTTATCATCATTAATATGCAGGGTGGCAATGTCTGCTGCAATGCCAAAACAATGCAGTCCAATGTTCAGGCTGGAGAAATTAGTACCAAGACACATCTTGCCAAAACTGAGTCACTGCGTTGAAGATTGGGGAAGGGACTGGAGTCATAGGAGGTCAGAAAACATGCTCAGGGGACTTTTCAACACAACTGCTGCCACAGTGGTATCCCTACATCTCACCCATCCCTCCCCAGCCACACTACTTTTCACATCCCAAGAGTCCTGTTTATACCATCTGCTCACTAAAAGGCACTCTCTAGAGTTCATCCCCCAGCCCAGATGGGTCCCAGCCATCTGGCATTGGTCCCAGGCGTTGCGTCCACTTGCAGCCACCTATGTGCACATGTTAACTGAGGAAGGTTTCCAGCCAATAGACAGCAATACACACAAGTGCACATATACACACAGCCCTGAGCAGAACATCCATATAGTCACTGGCATGAGAAAGAGTCTACAAGCCACATACACATGCGTGCACGAATATGTACACACACAAGCACATGCATACACACACAGGCACACACCTGTGTAACTCCCTAAGTCACCAGCCATGTCCGCTCTCCCTCACCCCAGCTTTGACATCCCTTGTCCCAGCTGTAACATCCCTTGTCCCAGCTGAGTTCTATTTCTCTTCTCAGATCATTGCAGCCCTGGTCTAGAATGACTTAAGGAGCAAAACTGAGCCAAGAAGTCTTGCCAGATTCCTACTGGAAGTAATCTGGAGACTTAGATCTGCAAACAGCATCAAGCGGCTGTAGGGTAGAGCACAGAATTCGGAAGTAGGATAACTCACGTTAAAACCCAGCTTCACCTCATTATGTCTAATCTTGAGCAAGTTCCTTAGTCTTTCTGAACCTCAGTTTCCTTATCCCCAAGGTGGGAAACATCCTGCCCCATGGGATGTTGTGATGATCCAATTGATGTAAGTAAAAGTATTCCATGATCCATGAGGAGCTTTGTAACCATTAGCTTTTCTGGTAAACACCAAGAACCCTGAACTGTTGATATAAATTCTATTCTATGATTTATGGCTGGGGGTTCATTCTGGAAACAAGAAAACTAGATCACATTGGCATCCAACTTGAGGACTAGATGAACTCTAGACAGAACAAAAGTGTCACATTGTTCAGAGAGTGACAGAGACCACAGAGAAAGGGAAAACCAGTGTGGTTGCTGTCTTGGGCTCATCTGCTTTCCTTGGAGTGGAGCTGAGATGGGATGGGAGAGTGGAGGGTAGATGTAACTATTAATACTTTAGAAACTCAGAATTTTTTGCCCCTGAGAAAACTCTAGATGCTATGCCAACAAAGCTATCTACCTCCCAGGAGGAGTAAGGGTGAATATGGAAATGGTTTTCCTCTGCACCTCACAACTCATGTCTTAACAGAACTGCAAGGGTGACAGAGCCTATAGGATGAACAGCAATTGGGCCCATAAGGCCTATCCTAGGCAGGCTGTAAGATGGCTCCCAATAAACTCACCTCTTGGTATTCACTTCCTTGTGAAATCCCCTCCCCTGAGTATGAACTGCATCTAATGACTCACTTCTAATAAACAGAATATGGTCTAAGTGATGGAATGTCACTTCTGAGATTAGGTCACAAAAAAAGTTGGTTTCTGTCTTGAGCACTCTCTCACACTCTCTTTCTCGTTCATCTTAAGGGAAGCCAACTGCCATGTTACAAACTGCCCTGTGGAGAGGCCTATGTGGCAAGGAACTAAGGGAGTTTTCCAGCCAAGAGGCAGCAAGAAACTGGGGTTTTTAGTGCAACAGCCTTTGAGGAGCTTAATCTTGCCAATATCCAGTGAGTGAATTTGGAAGTGGATTCTCCTCCTGTTGAGCCTTCAGATGAGACCACATCCTCGGCCAAAATCATGACTGTAGCCTCATGGAGAGACTCTGAGACAGAAGCAGACAGCTAAGGCATATCCAGATTCCTGCCCCACAGAAGCTATGAGATAACAAATATTTGTTTAAAGCAATTAACCTTTGGAGTGCTTTGTTACCCACCAAGAGATAACCAATACAAAGCCCCTACTAGACATACCAAGGAAAAATCCCACCCACAAAACTGAGACAGAGAAGGGCTTCTAATCTGGCAGCAGTGGGAGAAATTTCACTGCATAATTCCTTCTTCACCATTCCATCTCCAGAGGACACCATTTCTACTAACGTAAGGGAACCTATGTAAGTAAAGAATTTAAGCCTATAACATACCACAAAAATGAAGCTGCCCTTCCAACAAAGCAGATTTTGACAAGGCCATTTTGAGACAGTGGATATACTAATATGGCCAGAGGGGTTACAGGTGGGGTATGGATGGAGGGCAAGATACAGGGGGAAGTATCCAAGATACTCAGAGGTGGAGTTAGGGTGCTTGCCTTGCACATTACTTGAGAGGTATAGACAGCTGACGTTTTCATGGTTTCTTTTAAAAACTAAGTAAAAATGTTCTTGGCACCAAAATGGCTTTGCGAAAGAGCCAGATCAAAATGTCAGGTTCTGTCATGGGACTATTTTATTCAACCCTACTACATAAACACTGTTTGGACTCCACCTAGGCACTCAAGCCAGGAAGATTGCCACTAATCTTCCTTTCCTTACACACACACCCGTGTGCACGCGCGCGTGCGCGCACACACACACACACACACACGGGGCTCAGGAGTAAGTTTCCAGAATCCAACAGCACAGGGTCTAGAATGGAGTAAGTTTTAAGGCCATCATCCGTCCCATGCCTGATTGGATTTGGGCTGTTCTGATTCAGGCTGACAGCTACCTGCCTAGAGGCTAGCGCCCCACTAAAGAGTCTACGGAGCCCCGGTCATCATGGGGTCCGATGGGAGTTTTCCCTGAATTGCTCACCAACCCAGAACACAAGAACGCAGAAACTATTGTGCATGGTGGACCCAAAGAGTGCCTTTAATTTGGAATCGATCCTATTTGTTCTCTGAAGCTCTCTGTTTCGTTAAAGCCATTGATTTACCAACACTTAATAAAGAGGAGAATGTTTCCTAGAGCCTTGCATGGTTGTGTGATCAGAGGTGGGATTACCCACTGCACAGCGCCAAGAGATGGAACCGGCTGCACTGGGGCTGGGCCCTTCCAGTCCAACATCCCAACCCTCACGCTACTTTGCCTCTCTGTACCTTGGTTTCCTCCTGGGTAAAAATGAGGGTTGAGGTCTGCTGTACCCTGTCTCCCTTCCAGCTCGAATCTCCTGTATGTCTCTGAAACCTCTTGGCACAGCAGTCGCCAGAAAATGGAATGCACTGAAGTTTCCTAACATCCCACCAAATGAATTCCTTATGAGCCCAACTTCTGGGTTTGTACTCACCAAGAAAACACTGCAAGCCCTGACCTTCCAAAAACTCGGCTTGTTCTCTTTCCCGGATGCGTTTTCAAAAGAGAAAAGCTAACTTTTGCCCTCTAGGGTGGGAAATGCGAAAGGCACAAGTGCAGAGCTCTGTGAATTGAGACCACAACAAACCCCGCCTGGGCATGGTGCCCACAGAGCGGGCGCTCAACAGCCTTTCCAACCACAGAGTGGAAATTCTAGACACAGAAGGTGCCCAGATGGGCCCTGCTTTCGTTCTCTTGCCAACTGCCGTAAACCTGTTTCTGTCCCGTTGGAGCTGCAACGTGGAGCCAGAAATCTGGAAGAATTTAACACCCAGTCGATTCAGACACAGGAAAACATTGTTCAAAGTAAACACTGGAATCCCTCCCTCATCATCCAGGAATGTGGAGCCAGCAGGGTCTGAGCTCAGCAGCTTCTCAAAAAAGCCCCCGCTAAGCTGCTCTGCTTTTGGGGCCACAGACTGGGAGGGCCAGGAGGGGCTCCACACACTCCACACGCTGCCAAGACAGGGATGAGGCTAGGAGGTCAGTGCACCGGGCTTCTCCTCTCCCATGGAAACATGGGCAGTGCTGTCCACAGCCTCCAGCTAAAGAACCCTCTGTTCCCCCAGAGGACACAGCCTGTGTGCAAAGGCCGCTGAACTTGTGAAAGCCTGAAGGAAACAGAGAGGGGCTCAGGACGCTGCGAGACTTTTCCATTTCCTTTGCCTCCCAGC